TTATGGAGATGCTAAAAAGAGTTTGGAGTAATGGTTCTAGTAATGGTAATTAAATATAGAGCTGTTTCTGTAGGAAAAGAGGCATCATGATATGGAAATTAAGTGGCATTTTTCCTGTGGAGAATTAATGAAAGGAAGATAGTCTTCTACCCATTTCTTGTTCCCTTTGCAGATGCTTGTCCACTAGCCAGCATATGTTCTTCCCTGGAATCTAAGACATATTTATAATTAAAATATAAATGTTCTAAAAGGGCTTCAAGGGCAACAGTTTTAGAATTAGCCAGGGCACACATATGCTTTATTACTGTGCATATTTATTTAAAGTTTAGCTGATCAAATCGCAATTTTTACGGTTAGATTATCATTTTTGTATGGAAAAATGTGTGTAATACATACAGCTATAGATTTTCTAGTTCTGCCTTGAAAATGCCCTTCCTCACATTGCATTAAAACACCTACTTTGGAAAAAATTTAATTTGTAATCTTACATTTAGTTCTTGTTTCTGTTCCGTTTGATAAACTCAAACAACGTGTGCCAGTGTGCTCACTGTAAAAAATGACAACGGAGCTTATCTTAATCTTAAAAATTATCCTAAATTAACTGGGGATAATCTTCCATTGGTGAAAATCTCAGAGCTAAGAAAGTGTTAGGATTACGTTTCCATTTATGATGTGTATGTATGTATATAGATCAGGGGTGGGTTCTACTTACCTTTACTACCGGTTTGCAACGGGATCACGCGCACGCCTTGCTTCTGCGCATGTGCAGATCGCTGATGATGACATTTATTTATTGTTTATTTATTGGTTCGATTTATATGCTGCCCTTCTCCAGAGACTCAGGGCGGCTTACAATGTGTTAAACAATAGCCTGCATACTTTTGTATATACCTGCTTAGTTGGGCTTTCACACCTCCCCCCCAAGCGATGTTCTTTTTTATACAAAGTCAGCTTATTGCCCCCACAATCCGGGACCTCATTTTACCTACCTCGAAAGGATGGAAGGCTGAGTCTGGTGAGATTTGAACTTGCAGTAATTGCAGGCAGTTGGCAGCTAGTGCTACTTAACAGCACTTTAGTCCGCTGCGCCACCAAGGCTCCATCCAGGGTGGTGCGCGGGGTCTCCCACCAGTTTTACTACCGGTTCTTGCAAACCAGTCCGAACCGGGGGCAACCCATCACTGATATAGATACTATATAAATAATATATAAATAATCTGTCCATTACCCAAGCTGAAGGTGATTTATTGAAGAATGCATGGGAGGGTGTTGTTTTTTATAAAGAAAAGAGTAATATAAAGCATATGGATTCATTTAGAGAATTAGGAAAAAAGAAATAGATGAGACAACATGACAAATTCCATTGGCAGACGTCTAAGTGATTATTTAAGCCCACTTTATACTCATGACAGCACACTTCCTCCATTCATTCTCTATTCCTTTGGTCATCTTGCATGTCACTCAGAGCATTTGCTATGCAGCACCATGCATCTGGTGATAAATTCATTCAGAGCACTGAAAATCCCGGCTTGAAAAGATAAATGGCAATCAAAACAGCTAATGCAGACAGTTTACAAATTGCACATGAAATCACTGGAATGTTTAACTTTTTTTAAAATCTCTCTCATGCTGTGTGTCTATTCATAGTTTTGAAAAAAAAACCCTTCCTCCGTCTGCCCTTCCCCCATTTCTGATACATGAACTGTTTCTTTTTTGTAAGGAGTAGAAAAATAGAGAATAGAGCTGGAAGGCAGCTTGGAGGTCTTCTAGTCCAACCCCCAGCTCAAGCAGGAGATCCTATACCCATGATGGCGAACCTATGGCACGTGTGCCAGACGTGGCATACAGAGCCCTCTCTGTGGGCATGCACGCCGTCGCCTCAGCCCAGCTTCAATCGCGTTTCTCCATCGCGTTTCACTGAATCAATTCCAACTTCTCGCGAAAGAAAAAGATCTCGCAAAGTTGGAATTGATTGAGTGAAACTTTTTCACTCGCGCGCTTCATAATGGGGGGAGGTGGGGTCCCGTCCACCTCCTGAAGCCCATTACGACACAAAGCCACAATGCAACCTACGCAACTCTTTCATCCCTCTGCTGCAGTTCTGTCATGGCAGAGGGATGAAAGCAGGGTGGATAAAAATCAATGATTTTTTTAAAAAAAATCAAAAAAATCAGACTTTTTGGTTTAAATCGGATTTTTTGATTTAAATCAGATTTTTTTGATTTTTATCGAATGTATTTTAATAAAAAACTTTTGGGGTAAAAATCTATCATAAGATAGTTTTCTATTTAAGATACATAAATAATTTAGTTTATTCAGCATGAAATGGAGCTTAGTTATGTCGCATGAGGCTGTATATTCTGCAACACTGGGACTATTGGTGAGTCAACAGTGGGTCAAAGGAGTAGCAGAAATGACAGTTGCTCTTTAAAAATTATGATTTAAATCGAGTTGATTTAAATCAAGCCTTTTTACTAATGATTTAAATCATGATTTAAATTGTGATTTAAATCAACTCAATTTAAATCAAATCCACCCTGGATGAAAGAGCTGTTGCCCTGTTGCAGCGATGGTGATGGGCAGAGCCTTAGTGTGGGAGCGAAGCGCCCCTGCACTTGCCTTTGCGCAGCAACAGCATTCCACCTTGATCATGGTACATTTGCTGTTGCCACCAGCAAAGAGGGCTGGGAGAGAATGGCAGGGCGGAACTTGTGGGGTGGGAGCCATCCTCCAAACCTGGCCTCCTTCCTCCCTCAACAGTGGCCAAGAGAAAGAAGGGGGCAGCATGAAAAAGCGCTCCCCTCCCCTGGATGAGCACTGAGCATGATGATGATAAAAGCAATATTCTTAGGAATAGAAAAGACCTAGCTTAATTTCCATTATTATATTAAACATACTGATACGTCTGGTAGATGAAAGCATGTGGAACATACTCCAAAATTTGATAGAAGAATTGTTCCAATTTGTTTAACTGGCAGTTGTATCAAGAAAAAAAAATTAAATTGGCATTCTTTTCTTCTTTTCCGATTTAATGAATAGTTCATTCCTGATTTTATGGTTGGAAACTGTGGTTGGGAACTGATATGCATTAACCTCCCAATAATCCTCATGAGTCTCAGTGAAATCATTCTCTCTATAGGTGTGCATGCAATCGGATAGTAATAATATAATCTAATTCTGTCTATACTTATTCAGAATGAAAGTGTGTTAAATTAAATTGAACTTTCTTTGTAATAGGCACGCATAGGTTTGCTGCCTAAGGTTGCAATCCTATTTTCATTCATAAAAGAAGTAATAAATTCCATTAAATGTACTGACTCTTACAATATGTTATATTTCACCAATTAGATATCAGGCAACCAACTTAGTTTTTCCTTATAAATAAGTATCCCAGGCTTGGAGGATTTGGGGTTCCCCCCTCCCCTCATATCTCTATAAGAAGATGAATTTGAGAAAAGAAGCAGCTGGAAGGGGGGATTTTAAACCTCCGATCAACATCTGAATTAAAGTATCATGAGGCCACTTTGGAAGAAATAAAAACAAGAATCCACTGGAAATAATGCTGGAAGCATAATTTAATTTTAAACTTCTTGGGTTTGCTTTGCATACATCTACTTTTTCAGTATTTTTCCAGTATACTTGGGTTATCTATTTGTTTGTATTATATCTCACCTGCCGTTCAAGAGTTCAAGGTGATACTTTGCTCCAACTCAACAACGATGTGAGTTAAGATGTAAATGAGACAGAATGACAGGCCCAAAGTCATCTCCTGCCTTAGTTTCCCCAGTGCCTGAGCAAGTAGCACTCCAGTCTTACAATTAATTTCTATCATGAGGATCTTTTGAATACAGTTTCATCTCTAAACAATCCTGTTTACCTTCAATGCCCCTGTTACTTTCTTAAAACAACATCTGTTGTATTTAAGCAAATGATACTATTCCTAGTTGAGTCATCAGTTTCTAGAACTACTTCTTTTTCTTGTGCCATATCCATCATCGGATGTTGGTGATCATGCTGGCGATCCTATTTTTATCAACAGCTGCACAAAAAAGTGCTGCAGAGTTTTGTCCAAACCAGTCCCTTAAATTGTGAAGCCATGATGTTCTTCTTCTGCCTGGATTTCATTTGCCTTCAATCTTTTCTTGGAGGATTAAGTGAAGTATGCCGTATTTTTCCTGAGTGTCGCAGCACATATCCAAAATATTTTGCTTTTTAATAGTTTTGATGATTTCCCTTAGCTTTCCCAGGCGGCTTATCACCTCCTCATTTCTGATCCCAATCTTCACAACTCTAAGATGTGTAGACTTCAACTCCCAGAATTCCCCAGCAAGCATGCTGGCTGAGGAATTCTAGAAATTGAAATCCACACATTGTAACATTGCTAAGTTTGGGAAACACTGTTCGAAGGCGAAGTGACTGGTGAAAATAATCTGGAACTTTTCCTTTTGACTGCTTCCTTTTGAATCTCCTCCTTTTATTTATATAAAGGTATCCCATTGGAACATACATTGTTTCCCATCAATTGTGATTTAGACAATCTTGTAAGTCCTTTGTTCAATGAAAGAAAGAAAATTCTAGAGTCAAATCCAAGAAGGTGCAAGTCCACATTGGTGTACTGCATTAAAAAAAGAGAAAACTCTAAGCCAGCATTATTTGAATACCTGAAGACAAACTGCATAAGGGATTAATGAGAAGTGATTGATTTTGGGCATTCGTTAAGAAAATTTTAATCCTATCTTCTTTTTTAAAAAACACATGACTTCTCCAGAAAATTTCCTCCAATTTTAGGATGAATTATTTATATCAAGTTACAAGGAGGAATTAATGAACACAGACCATAATATTAATTGCCCAATATGTTTTGTTTCACTTTTCTTGATTTGAAAACAGGAAAAACAAATAATAATTTTCAGGTTTTCTCATTGGTTCTGCAATTTACGAAGTTTTTCTTAAATAAAAATATGCTAATCAAAATTCCACTTGTCATTTTTCCCCCCCAGCTCTCGTAAATGTGAAACTTTGGGCTATTGATCGGCAATGTTTCCAAACAATAATGATGAGGACTGGCCTTATCAAGCATACAGAGTATATGGAATTTTTAAAAAGGTATGGCACTGGTTTACGTATTTGTCATTTGGAAGCATGCAACATTTATTACCATGCTTGGGGAATATTATATATATATATATTTGTCTTGTTGGAGGGGGGCTTGTGAATGAGTGGTCATTTCTATTCAATTTTTAATTTGCTCTTTTAATGACATTAATGGCATAAGAGCTTGAAAATAGAGGGCAGTGATTGAAGGTCTCAGATTCATTATTGTTTGCCTTTTATCATAGTAGCTATTCCTCTTAAGGTTGGTAGCAGAAAAGTAAGTAACAGAATAAATACAGCAATCATAGAAAGAGCAATGTTTACAGATCCATTTGGAATTTCTCTTTTAAGAACATATTTATTCAAGATATAGAATAATTTCTTAAAAGCATAATATGGCCTAATGCTTTTTAAAATAATATTTAATAATCATATATTTTAAAAGTATGCATTTGTATCTTTCAGACAGAGATATTACTGTTTGCTTCGGGGATGTACAAAATGGAATGTGAATTAGTTAGAGAAGAAAAGAGATTTAGTGATGCGTATTTTAAATTTATTAAATTTGAATTTAAGCCCCTTGAAAAGGATTCAAGTAGTTTTGATTTCCCTAATGCAGTATCAAAGTGCCAGAAAGTTGAGATGTATAATTATACAAGAATCAAATATATTAACATAAATCTCCTTTAATTAAAAGTTATTAAAGGCTGGAAATATAAGCTCCTTCATTCAGAAAAGAAAAAGAGAGCTACTAGAAAGGTTTAAATAGCCAACAGGTCACTGGTGTTGTCTGGGTAACAGAATTCACATTAATTTTCCAGTGTTTTTATTACTGCATTCATTGGAGAAAAACAGCAACCTTTCCCAAATGAAGTTAAAAATATTTTGCTCAATTTTGGAATTAGGAAAATGAGAAGACATTAATAATAAATATTCAGTTTAATTTATGATTGGATAGGCAAATCTTGTGCATGAAAGATTGTTGAGTCATACTCTTGTGTGGAGTTTCAGGGCAATGTGTTCCACTGAAATCAGTGTGCTGCACTCCATTTTTATCTTAATTCTAATTGATTGTATTGTATTTGGGACTGCTCTTTAATAGCATTGGAAAAAGCAGAGCTATTACAGAGCACTGATACCGCAATGTTTCTGTCATGGTCTGAGGTCAAGATGAATACAGTGTCGTAGGCAATTACACAAAACCCAAGTTTCCAGGATATGGTTCCATGATGGTTAGGTACAATACTAACCTTGAATAAATATAATTTAGTTAAGATCACATAAAAATCCTGCTTAGACTTTAAAAAGGGCTCAAATCTGTTGAGTAGATGTCTAGAAAACTATTATATTAAGGATTTCTGTAGCCTTCAAATTGAACCTTTATTATGATCATAAATCAGAATAAGGAGGGTAGGGTACAAAGAATTAAAGAGTATGAAAGATATACATTTTTAAAGAATACATATAAAAACTTAAAAAAATGAAATGAAACAAAAATCAAACAGGAATTTAAAAAAAATCTAAAAGGAGAAGTAGAGCAATAGGTAGATATGGAGGAGCATGGCAAATTAAATCTATCACAATAAACATTACTCTACTATTACGAGCGAAGTGCTTATTAAATCTGGTTTATGACACAAGTCATCTTCTGACAGATTTTAAGTGCTGTTGTGTAGAATCTGGAAACATTGTATATTATAGCTGGATTGGTGTCAGCAAGTAGCAGGGAAGTGAACGAATGTCTCTGTAGTAAGACACAGAAGAAATGCATGTTCTGTTGTTTTTGCAGATCCAAAGTTGTGAGGTAAAGTCTTTCTGGGTAGGGAAGAATTTTCTGAAGTGATCTTCAAGTAGAGCTGAGAAGATGGTGTGATATTGTGCCATAGTAAAGGCCCTTTGGTGGTTAGGTACTTTGAGGTTACTTAAGTATGCCATAGGAGACACAGAATTTCTGTTGGGTTCAGTGTCAGTGGAGGTTGAAGACTTAGCTAAGTCCAATTGACACTCTGTCTGCTGCATGTTGTTTAATGAGTGCTTTGGCTTGATCATATCTGGAGTGGAAGACCCAAGGACGAGATTTTAATTGCCACTGCCTCTTTTCATTTGGATTGAAAATCATCACTCATAATTAATGGGACAAAATCAAAGGGGAGAAAAGGATATTCTGAGCCAGTAGTTGAGTACACACTCTACTTTCATGAGGTCTATGTCTAGCCTTTGGGTAGCATTTGAGACACATTTTTAGGCTCAAAGGGCCCAAAACGTGGACTAAACAAGTGTTAATGGTGCAAAATTAACAAGCGTTAAAGGTGCAAAAGGGTTGATTGGCACCATTATGGGCACCATAGAGGAATTGTGATATTGGCTTAACTTCCAATAATTTGAATGCTGCAGAAATGTAGCGACCATCTCTTGTCTTGAAGAATTCATGGGTAGAAAATGAGTTCCTTGGCAGATTGTAAGGCTACATTCTGTGGTTGTGCAGTGGTTAGTATTGCAAATTAACTCTCCTCACATTGCCAGGAGTTCAATTCCTTCGATCCTGACCAGCTCAAGGTTGACTCAGCCTTCCATCCTTCTGAGGTTGGTAAAATGAGGACCCAGATTGTTGGGGGCAATATACTGACTCTGCAATATGCTGACTCTGTAGAGAGGCTGTAAAACAGCGTGAAGTGGTATATAAGTGTTCTAAGTGTTATGGCTATTTCCAGATATTTGAATCAGGAGACCAGCTCAATCTTGTGGCCATTTATCTTCAAGGGTTGATTCTGGAGCCTTTTGGCAAACACCATGATTTTGATTTTTTTGGTCATTGAGTTCTAGCTGGTCTTCCTTGCAATATTATTTTAGTTTTCTCTTGTAAGACCAATAGGGGTTTTTGAGACTATTGGTGGATCATCTGCATAGAGTAAAACAGAGATGATCCTGCAAGCTGGTTTTGGAGAGTGAAAATGTTTGTTGAGGAGATGGCCCATCATGTAACAAGAGGGAAGCCAATATACAAGCTTGCTATACACTTTTCTCAGTTCCAACGATATTGGTGACGTGACTTTGGGGTTTATAACTTACTTTGAATCACCTCCCTTCATGAAACATACCTAATAGATGAAATACACATCTAGGTCTCTACTTTCTGTCTCATTGGGGGTATATAAACATTTATTATCAGCTGAGCACTGTGACTCAATTGGATTAACGCAGCAATAGCATATGCCTTGAGTGGAGAGAGGTGCTTTGATATGGTATGTAGTGGAGTGGAGACTAGGACTCCCAGATCTCCTTTTGCTCTTCCATGCTCTTGGCTCTGTCCTGCTCATGAATCAATGAAATCCATTTAATAGCATGTTATCAACAGTCCATGTTTTCTGGACCAGTATGATATCATAATAGGAGAGGAAGTCAGTAAATTTCCTCTGATCTCTGAACAGGGATCAGTAAACAGGGATCACCCAACCACATTTGGATTTGGTCATTTGGATGTCAAACAGTGAGCACCTGGGGCTGGGTGAGTGAGTTTTGTAAAAGCAATAGTGTAAGGCCCGGCCTCTCCCCCTTATTCAAGAAAGTAAAGACTCTTGAAACTTGGCATTTCAAAAGGAATCTTTTATTGGCTTAGGACCTGGTTATCTACGGGACCGCCTGCTACCACCAATAGCCTCCCACCGGCCAGTACGCTCCCATAGAGAGGGGCTCCTCCGGGTGCCGTCGGCCAAACAATGTTGACTGGCGGCCCCCAGGGGGAGAGCCTTCTCTGTGGGGGCACCTACAATCTGGAATGAGCTCCCCCCAGAGATACGGAGGATCCCAGATCTGCGCACCTTCTGTCACGTGCTTAAGACTTTTTTATTTCATCAAGCTGGCCTGGCCTAAATCTTCTCCCCTTTTTAAATGTAAATTTTAATTTGTTTTTAAATTATGGGGTATTTTAAATTTGTCTCAGCCAAATTATTTAATTCGTTTTTATTCTATTTTAAATTTTTGTATTTATGTGTTTTATTCTGTGGCTGTTCACCACCCTGAGTCCTTCGGGAATAGGGCGGTATAGAAATTCAATAAAATAAATAAATAAATAAATAAAATTGAACAGGGGTGATAGCAGGGTGAAAAGAAAGCAGGCTCTGAGGGGCCCTCAGGCGATACAGTTAGAATAAAGGAATTAGAAACCCCTCCCAACAATCCAGTGTGGATTCTGCCAATCTGAAGGTGCGAAGATGCTATTGTACCGGCCACTCTGAGAAAATGATAAGGGAACTTTCTCAGGGTCATCCTCTGCCCGCTTTCGAGCGATGCAACCAACATGACCCTCCCTCCCCTCACATTCCCCAAAAGATGCGAAAAATGCCAGAGTGTTTAGGCACCCGGCTAAAGGTTATAAATCAATCAATTGCAGGATACAGGATACATAGGGAAGAAAGTAACATGTAAAGAAAGTAATTAAAAATCCCCCCTTTCCCTGAAGAATGGCAGATACACAGATCTGACAAATAGCTTCAAATTAGTTGATAGTTGAAGTGGTTGTAGTTGTGTTTTCCTGTGTGTGTGTGGGAAGAAGGTGTGGCACCATCTATTTCCTGCTCTCTCTTTTCTTTCAACTGTTTCTTCCAACTGGAATATAAATAATAGAAACTGTTTGCCTAGATAGATGATAGATAGATAGATAGATAGATAGATAGATAGATAGATAGATAGATAGATAGATCAAGAATAATAACCATCAATACTTAGATTACAACTATAGTAGTTACTGTCTCCTTAGTTCTCATTTTGCCTTAGCCTTGATCAATAGTAGAAAAATGGAAAGAGGTAGAATGATTGAATATACTAATTAAGTTATTATCTTGTCTCCCTATTGTGCAAGCAACAGCTGATAATTAACTTTAGTTAAGCTAGGTTTCTATCTCTCTTTATAAGAGAAATCATGATGTATGTGGAATCTCAGCTCATTATTTAGCAAAGCTCTCAAGCGGATGCTATTTTAAAGTTGTATTATGAAATGTGTATCAGATAAAGAC